TTAGAAATGCAGCTGGCAGAGGTGGAGAGCAGCTGCAGGGCACGAGGAGAGTTGGCGGCACGGGTGACTCGTTGTCTAAACGGATACACCCATTGGGAGGTGGCAGCTCAAGAGAGGGTTACACTCCGGGAGTTCGAGCTTCGGGCGGCGGCCTTGACGGAAGGTGACAGTCGGAGTCGGCGGCGAGTGGCGAGAAAATTAGAAACTTTCTTGTCGGGTGCGCGCGACACTATGGCGCACTTGCAGTCGGAAGTCACTGCAGCGCTCCGACGCCTGGGGTTACGCAGCCGGTCGGAAGACTGGCAAGGTAGAGATAGTAAGCGGAGCAGTCCGGCGCGCAGGAGGCGCAGCACCGGATCTGCTGAGTGCAGTAGAGTAGTTTGGTTTCGCGCAGATGCTGCGAGTGGTAGATAGGATAGCGTAGTGCTAGTTAGGATCTTTTGAGAGTATAAAGTAGATCAAGGCGTTTTGCCTTGGGACTCTTCCAGTTTCGGAAGTGCAGATCAGGAACTCACTTTCTTGGCGTGTTTGTGCATTTTGGTCCTGGCACCACGTAGAGAAGCTGCAGCATAGCGAAGTTACCGTATGTTGTAGTTGAAGGCCTTCGGCTGAATGTTCAGAGCTAGCACCCGGTTAGAGACTTGAGTAGTGCGGATCTGCACCTGCGGGTGATTTCTGATGCTCAGAGCCGGCTGCGAGTTAGATACTTGAACAGTTCCCCCTTACTCCTTCGAGTGACATATCCTGATTGTACTCCTACGGGAAGTTTCCCCTGAATGCCAATGTGAAGTTTCATTACTTCGTGTAAACCTTGGTTTGTAATTCAGGTTGTGTGTGTGTTACTGGATCGTGTTTTCAGTAAGTTCTCAGTCGGGTCTGCACTCCCTGCGTTTTGTGTGATAGTCGAGGGTGACGTCCACGGCGTACGTAGAGGCTTCGTTCCGAAGTGAGAAGTCCAGTCCGGGTACCCCCGCTAGTTCCTGGCGGAAGGGCAGTAAAAGCCGGAGTGGGAGGCACTTCCTGCAGAACCTCTGAGTGAACTTACGAGACACTTTCCTCCTGAAATCCGAAGCGGAGGTCCTGACCGACCTCCGAGTTGTGCTTTTTGCCAGTTTCAGGTGTGTGTGTGTGTGTTGAGTGACCAAGCTGTACCGTGCATCCTCCGAGCATCCTCCGAGTTGAGTTCCTCCTCCGAGTCGAGCCTCCGAGTCGAGCACTACAGTATTTCTGGGAGTGACAGTCGCCTAGAATTCAAACTCTACCAAAAGTCTGTTAAATGTGACACTTTTACTCTGTGTGTTGCCTCTGTCCCTGTGGGTTCGATCTTTTTACCACCATACTGCAGTTTTAGCCTTTGGTGGGTTATTACAAGGCCCAGAATCGGATTTTGTCAGAGGAGCTCGTGCGACAGACGCGGTTGTTAGAACAGTGTCAGCTCGCACGGCAGGCGGATGAGGAGGTAATCCGCAGGCTACAATCAGAGTGTGGCGAATTGAGAGCGCAACGTGCTGAGGCCAAATCGCAATTAGTGGTAACTGAAGAGGATCGCAGGAAGGAGGCATCGCACAAAGGTGGAGACGGCGAGGCGTGTCGCCCACTGTCTCAAGGGCTACGCCCACTGGGAAGTGGCGGCGCAGGAGAAACTCACACTGCGTGAGTTTGAACTTCGCGCAGCCGGGTTGTTGTCAGGCGACAGCAGGAGTCGGCGGAAGGTAGCAAAGAAGCTCGATGCTTTTCTGTCGAAGGCGCGGGATACCATGTCCGCCCTCGAAGTGGAGGTGTCCGCGGCGTTGCAGCGATTGGGACTACGCAGTCGAGCAGAAGACTGGCAGGGTAGGGAGTTAGTGCGCGGCAGTCCGTCGCGCAGGAGACGTAGCACAGGTTCCGCGGAGTGTAGTGTAGCGTGGTTCCGTGCAGACGTGTAGCGTAGTGCAGTGTAGTGCTAGTTAGGACTTAGAAGGTATAAAGTAGTTCCAGGCGTTTTGCCTGGGGTTCTTTCCCAATTTCGGAAGTGCAGATCAAGAACTCATTTTCTCTGCGTGTTTGTGTCCTTAGTTCTGTCACCACGCAAGAGGAGCTACAACTTGGCGTTCCGCATTTTGTAGCTAAAGGTCTTCGGCCGAATGTTCAGAGCTAGTACATTGGTTAGAGACTTGAGTAGTTCGGATCTACACCTGCGGGTGATTGCCGATGCTCATAGCCAGTGACTAGTTAGATACTTGAATAGTTTCGCCCCTACACCTTCGAGTGTCTGTTCCTGATTGTACTCCTTTGGGATTTTTCCCCTGAATGCCAAAGTGAAGTTTTGTTACTTCGTGTAAACCTTGGTTGCAAATTCAGGTTACGCTGCAGCAGGTGCCTTCAGGGTAACCCCTGTAGTATTTCTGGGAATGACAAGTGCCTGAGAATTCAAACTCTTCAATAGACTGTTGTTGTGTTACTGGAATGTTTCTCCGTGAGTCCTTCAGTGCGGACCTGTGTTCTCTGCGCGTTTTGTGAGTTGAGAGTGTTGTTCACCGCGTCTGAGTGACTTCGATCCGAAGTAGGCAGTCCAAACCGGGTTTCCTACGCTAGCAGCAAGCTAGCGGAAGTGTTGTAAAAGCCGGAGTTGGGAGTCACTACCCGCAGCTTCGCTGAGTGTACTCTCGAGAGACCTTCCCCCTGAAATCTTGAGTAGAGGTCCTAACGGATCTCTGGATTGTGTTTCTGTAGTTTCAGGTGTGTGTGTGTGTGTGTGTGTGTGTTACGCTGCACTGTGCGACCTCCGAGTGCGCTCCGAGTGGACACTTGCAGTATTTCTGGGAGTGACAGTCGCCTGAGAATTCAAACTCCTCAATAGTCTGTTAAACGTGACACTTTGTACCCTGTGTGTTCCTCTGTCCCTGTGGGTTCGACCTTTCTACCACTATATTGCAGTTTTAGCCTTTAGTGGATTATTACACGCACACTCGTCCGCATCGCACGTGATAACTCCTGACCCAAAGGCTGTCTCTCGTCCGCCGGAGGCGTAGCGTGGTCCACCGCTCTTGCGGACGTCCGCGCACTCCTATCTTTCTCCGGGGACGCACTTCCCTTCTCCGTGGCGATCGTCGCCGCATCCGCGCTGCTGGCTAGTAACACAAGCCTGCGCGCCTTCTGCTTCGGCCGGCTGCACACTTTGTGCAGTGGCCGCTGCTGTATGGGAGTAGTGGGTTCTCGATGTTGCTCCTCCTCCGATTCCTCCCTCCATCTTCGTTTCCGCGGCACTCTTGCTGCGGGTATGCTTCTTCCCTCGTCCCGCTGAGTCGGTGGAGTAGAAGTTGGTGAATCCTCTGCGTCGGTGTCGACTTCGTTATCCCGCACATACTTCTCGGGATGGTCGACGGACAATGGCGGAAAACGAGCAAGCTCGGCCGTGGTCAAACAGTTCCTCTGTCGATAAAAGTTTATCAAGAAAGGGGAGAGGTGATTGAGAGTTCCCCCCTTCTCCTCATATGCGTGCTGTCGCATCACCCTATGTAGGATGCGCGCCCAGTGAACTGGAGCTCCGACTAATGTGAGCTCCACAAAAGACACCTGCCACAAAGTGATGTACGAAGTGCGGTGCGGCTGCAACAATTGCAGCAGTGCCGCCGCTACAGTCCTGCGGAAACGATCTTTGTAGTCGCGGGTCTTGTACCCGTTCTTGGAAGACCTCCCCCGCTTGAACAATTCCACGAATTGCGCTTCGTCCTGCTTCGACACCTTGACGCTTTCACTATCAAATAGGAGATACCCGTCGTTGCTGGCACACCTCCCCAATGCCTGTGCCCAATCGTGGACGGTCCACCTATCTACGTGCGGACGCAATCCGCGCGTAGGTTGTCGCTCTGCGTCCAGCCATTCGCGCTCCATGTCTACACACACGTAATTCCACCCCCACAGCAAGAAATCAAGTTTTCTTGCAATCAGCCGCTCCTCGAAAGCCCGCAACCCGTTCTGTGTAGCCGGAGTGGCATCATCCGCAGCCTGTTCAACCTCGACATTGCGTTCTTGAAATTAGCTTGCGCAGCAACTCTCTCTCTGCTCTGCTCGAGCTTCTTGCTCGCGCTTCTGCCTCCTCTGCAAACTCTAATTTCTCTCAATTCCCACTCTCGCGCACTCAATTCTCTCTCAGCCATTGAATATTTATAGTGAAAACCAGCCTAGTATACTGAAGTTCATGTATACTTGCTGGGTTAATTTATTAGAATGCAGTCGAGTCTAACTAGAAGAACTTGAACGTCGTTGGCTTTTATAGCTCCCGATCTATTCACATCAATTTGAAGTGTCTTTCTGATTCTATTCATTTATTTCTCTATATATATATATTAAGGGAACATTTTTTTTGATATAGGTGCTTTTGAATCTCCTTCTATTGAATCTTGTACATCGTTGCCCATGATTTTATAAATCTCCTTTGGCACTTGTTTTGAAAAATCACGATGACTTCTCTTATTCATTGGATCTTGGTGTCACATATTAAAAACATTACTCTTAACTATTTTTGCCTTTGTGACTCGTTTAGAGTACATTCTAATGCCTTCTAATTAATTGGAGATTGAATACAAAACCACCCAATGTTATTTGGCTAGTAGAGTACCCTTCCACACCTTTGTTATCCTAAAAGTTTGTGTAGAGAATTTACGGAGCATGGAAAGGGTGCTTCTTTCTATGACCCCCCATTGTTATACATTTTCGGTGCAGCCCATCGAAACGCTATTCGGGCTAGCACACATTCTTACCCTCGTGGTTTCTCCTGGTTTCTTACCCTCATCAAGTCCCACACCTCGAGTGTGGGACTTGATGTGGTCTCGTCATCCTTTTCACTTCAGCATTGCGTTTACAGGATCTCCTGAAGGGCTTACTCATTGCGTCATTGCCCCAATCTTTGCGCTTGTGGCAATGACGCAGTTAGCGAGGTGAAACCGAGCCGCGTCAATTGCTGGTTGAAAACTATTTCCATTTCATTTACCTGGACTCGTGCTGTGGACATCAGGACATCATATACTCTGGTGTGGATCCGAAGCAACAAATGACAAGTAATGAGGTTGCGGTTTCGACGAAGGAACCAGAGGCAGTGCCACCCTACCTCCCAAGATCTCGACCACCTCTCTCATCGTCGGCCGACTGCCGGCGTTCGGGTGAGACCACAAGAGGCCCAAGAGAAGAAGCAATTTCATCTCTTTTGCATCGAACTCCTCGCCCAGTCTCGGATCTACGACATCAAACAGGCTCTCCTGATCCAGCTTCTCCCAGACCCAATCGACAAGGAAAATCTGCTCGACCGGCGCCTTAAAAAGGAAGGCTGGTCTTCCACAAGCGATAACCAAAGCCACGGCCCCGAAGGCGTAAACATCCGCCTTGTCGGTGAATTTCCCCGAGCCTGCTACCTCAGGGGCTATGTAACCGAAGGTCCCGGCAATCTGAGTGGTGGCAGGATACCGAGAATGATCCGCCATCCGAGCCAATCCGAAGTCCCCCAACATGGCGTTGAAGTCCTGATCCAGCATGATATTGCTGGACTTGAAGTCCCGATGAATCACCTGCTGCCGCCAGCCCTCGTGCAGGTAATATAGAGCGTCTGCAGAACCGGAGATGATTCTGAACCTGAGCTTCCACGGCAGAACTAATTCTGGACTCGCCGGGTGGAAAAGAGCCTTGTCCAAGCTTCCGTTGGGCATGAGCTCGTACACCAGCAGGAGGTTGCCCCGTTCGTTGTACCATCCCAGCAGCTTGACGATGTTCCGGTGGCGGATCTGGCTGATAATCGACACCTCGGCCAAAAACCCCTTGAGACCCTGATTTGAGTCCGGATTCACTCTCTTCACGGCCACGAGCTGTCCCGTATCGCGCAATTGGCCGCGGTAAACAGCACCGGATGCTCCTTGACCGAGCTTTGATTCCTCTTTGAAATGATCGGTGGCTATGCAGAGCTGTTCGAAGCTAAACTCTAGGCTGAACCCCAAGTCCACCCCATCCAGACTGAAAGCTGGCCTATCCCTACCTTCAGGACGATACGATTTCTTCTGTCGAATAACCAGTCCAACGATGACCAGGATTGAGAATAACAACACGACACCCAGTGAAACTCCAGCGATCAAAGCAACCTGTACTTTGCCTCCGCCGCCTGGTTCCGGAGGCAAAGCTGGAAGAATGGGAGGCGATACTTGAACTATGGCTTCAGGGTCAGAAACATATGAAAAAGTCCAGTCATAGACTGTGTAGAAATTGAAACATTCACAGATTCCGTTGGCTGCTGAAAACCCGACGTACACTAGCTCGTCTGGATGGAAGACGTCGAACAGATTTAGTGGGTAGAAGATAAAAGGTAGAGACGGCTTAGCGTTGTCACTGCTGATTCTCACCTCCAGGTTTTGAGTCGATGAGTTGTAATCTATCCACGAGTATATGCTATAATTTCCGGCAAGATCTATACTGACCTCCCAGGCGCTTCTTGCTAACGTTGAATTGACATCTTGTAAGTCCACTCCCACATGATTGATGTTTTCGTCCCCGAACTCCGAATTTTCAAACGTGTCAAACTCGATTGCCAGTGTCCTGGCGATCTGATGTCCGCGTGGATCGAAGACACCGAAAGCACCTCCATAACTGCCTTGACGACCCTCACTGAGCATCACAAATGCCATCCCGTCGCCCCGTAAATTTGGATTAGAAGGTTCGATGGTGAAGCGGAAAGAAGTGCTGAAGGAGATCGACGTTCGGGTCGGATCGCTCTCACTCTTTTGCAGTGGGATTTGAGTTTTACAAAGTGCCATCCTGGATGTGCCATAGTAATATTCATAAGTCATGTTGGCCCTATCTATCGGAGTGAGCATCAGACCTGCGGGACTCGCACTTGCGTTTCCAAAACACCATAGATTTCCCCGGTCTGTGCACTGGAAAGACGTCCCGCTCGCTCCCAGTGTGAAGTTTGCTACCACATGCTTGACAAGAGCCCGCAAGATAATGATCGATAACACACTTCGAAAGCGAATGTCTCTCATCATTCTGAGCTTGATCATCTATAAATTTTCACGCCTCAGGGACGAGATGAACACTAACTAATTCCATATTCACAGTCAAGCCCTCCGATGAAAGTTTGAGCTCGCACGTGTCTGACTCTACGTTTAGTGATCTTTTGGCTTATCAGGTTGTCATGCTGGTTGTTAAAAAAAAATTTCTCCATTAAATTCAAAATTAGTATAATATAATAAGTTTTTTTACATGTGGGCTTCTACATGATAGACATAATAACCTTTCAAAGTACATAATGATGTAGTTTGGAAGCTTATACGGGTCATGGTTTACCTGCCGTGTTCTACATTTCATCTGTGACTTTCTGGTTAGAGTCTGACTTAGTGTGCCGGTATCAATAAAATATGCAATGGAATCCAGCCTCGTTAGGAAACATGCGGCCATCGAGATTTCCTCTATGAAGTGTTGGGGAATGATTCATATCACTTCGACCTCTAATCGGAGTCAAAGCGCAGTGCACGCATGCGACACTTGACCACCTTGCGAAGCACATCGAGTTGATCATCAAGAAAAGGATCTGATAAAGATTTCTGAGAGGTCTTCATCCCACGGGTTGACCTTTTGAATGACCCGCATCTCATGACCAAATTACAAGCGTTGATTCCGTATAATGTCGAACATGTCGAGGGGTCGAGAATAAAGGAGAGGTCTGATTCAGTAGCTGGCCGTTTTCTGTAGCCCGTCCCCTTCCACCATGAGACCGTCCATTGGTCAGTTGTAGTGTTCTGCAAGGTTCCGAGTCATGTAGCAGAGTGATGTAAAGTTTGGAAAATCTGGAGCCTTGAAGTCGCACGCAGATTTCATTATCAGTCAATGTCGAAGCTGAGCTTCCAGAATCACACACACTCGATGTGGGATCAAAATCGGGACATTGGAATAAACAGTGGAAGAATGGATAGTGAAGTATTAGGAAAGTGTTCATTTGACTTCTTTACTCTTGAGGAGAAGAGGAGAGTAGAGAAACTCTCAGCTCCTCAAGTAATTCAAATAATTACAATATAAACAATGAAAAAATATCTCACTTCTATAATATATTTTATTTTTAATAAATTGATATGATAAAAATACCCAATAAAAACATGATTTGATGAAAAATAATTTTTGATAAACATTACATAATCATCACTTGCATTATAATATATAAAATGCATCTTTATAATAAGAAATATTAATTGTAATCATTTTTTTTCATCTTCAATGATTTATATTTTAATTCTAATGAAAAAATTACTTATAAGAACTATTTTGCTAGATGATAACATTAACTTATAAATTTTGACAGGAATTTAAAATAATAATTATAAATATAAATAAAATTTTAATATTCTCACTGATTATATTACTTGAAAAGATTTTATTTACTTTAAAAGACAAATTTAATTAGCTAAAAATTTAATTTACCTTATCTACTTCTCCACTCCAACATTTATTGATATTAAATTATTATTTTTTTTAAAAAGATAACTATATAGTAGTACTTAGTACTTTGAAGAATTCCTTACAAGGCCGAGGTCGGCTAGAATCCTGGTCCATTTCCATGAATCTGATACGCAATCTTGTTCTCAGAAAGATAAGGTCCCGAGCGACGCTTCTCAAGTCCTGCTGTAACTACAGGACGTCCTCCTGTAGTTACAGCAGGTGGAAAGGGTTAAAATGACTTATGAAGTGCTGGGGGGAAACTTGGGAGGCCACATCTAATCAAATACCAATGCGGCATTGGTATTTGAGCAAGGGCATTGGCAATGCCCTTGCTCAAAGCTAATGAAGGTTCCTCTCCGTTCTGGAACTCTGCAGGTGATGGGAAAGAGGACGCAGACGCGTAAGGCGCGCTTGGTTCCAAGTCCATGTTGGAGTTCGTACTGCGATGCAAATCTCCATGGCTCGACATTCTGTTTGCAAGCGACTGCAAGACATAACCATTCACAAAACAGTGAGCTCAACTTGGATACAAGTAGCAAAAGGCTTATGAATCATTCCAACTCTTCAATTCTAGTCGACCTGGTGCTAATTTCCACTGAGCCACATGCATAGGTGAGAGGCAGATTATACGTCAGATTCTTCTTAAGCACAAATATCCAAAGTCATGATACAGAAGGATAAAATAAAGTGCTCTTATGCATTTGTAAAACTTTTGTTTACCAGTAACAAATTTCCCATGAATCCAAGTAGTTGGTGAAACCTCTCGAAGATAAGAAGCAACTCCAGAGGTAAATATTCCTGCTAAAGAATATCTGCTGAAATTCATTCTAAACTCGACTATAAAGTACACACTTGATAAACTAGAGAAGTTGAAGAAGATGTTTAGTTTTCGATGTACCTCAAATTGTTTCTTCAGGCTAACCATCAACTGCCTTTCGTACTTCAGCCGAGGGGCTCCGGCACCTACAGCTTCGTGGTTATATATTGCTAATGCTGCTTCATGCGCATCTTGCAAAGCATTCTGGATCAAGGTGGAAAGCAGACGGTGCATCAGAAAACATTCACCAGATTTGAATCATAAAACATGTCTCTCTCAATGTTTGATCGTCGCCTGACGCTCATGTCTCAGGACTTCTCTGTCGCTTACTATGCGTACCTCGTCAGAAGCTGTGCTTTTATCGAACATTCTAAGACAGTTTTCCACGGCCATTTCATGCGCACGTCTGCATTCGATTTCTTTCTAAAATAGATACCTTTTGTTTTCACAGTTTTTTTTTTTATCAACCAAAACTTCTAAGATATTATAAGGTTATGAGAGCTAACTTGCTCTTCTCTTGATTGTGTATTATCTATCATTCATGGAATAGCAAAATTGTGATGAATGATCTTAGTGTTTGAGAGTATATAGAGATTTTCAGAGATCATGCAGATTAATGGAAGGAATATATTTTTTTTTCTGAAATTATGAAAATGCTTGATAGATTTTCAATATTACATTGTTTAATCTTTTGTTGAGGTTAACTCCGGTTAAAGAGTAACCTCAGGTTCGAAAGTTTGATCTCAAGGATCAAATTTCTTGTAGAATCAATTACATAACAAGGTGATTGACACTCTTTAAAGTGTGATTGCTGCTAAACTCTAAAACAAGCTATTGGCAAAGATAACATTTGTTGAATACATATGCTTTGGAATCTACTTTCATTGAATCGTATATATCACTGCCCATTATTTTATAAATCTACTTTGTCCCTTCTTTCAAAATATTTTGATGCCTCTTTTAATCAACTAGATCTTGGTGTCACATATTAAAAATATTTGTCCTAAATATTTTGGGCTTTGCAACTCTTGTAGAGTACATTGAGTCTATGAAATTTATGGTCTTAAAATGCCAAGTTGTAGCTTTTCATCACGCAAGAAATTGAGTATTTCTTCAAATTGACCTCATTGTATATAGCTTTTTCATTGAGACAGGCGAGTTCATCGCCTTTTCCAAGGAGAGTTCATCGTCGTAATTGTTATAAATCCCGAATCTTCAAATATCATGTACATTTAAAATCTATTGCCATGTATTAGTCATACTTAAACTTCCTTAGTTTTCTTGAAACAACTGGGTTATTATTCATATTGTTCATTGAAGGATATTGCTTTGAGAATTCCCTTGTCATACTAAAGTTTCACGTCCATATTCCAACTCCAAACCATACCCTATATCAACTGGTCAACACTTGAGTAAAGCGCTTTGTTACGATACGAATTAGAACAAAAGAGACATTTCTTAGACTACAAAGTACGGTCATATTACCATCATTGTTGTTAATTTATTACTACGATAGTGGGGAGGTTCGTGTATCCTTGTTCACACTCGTTTGTCGATGTACAATGTGTTGCTAATATTTGACAAGAGGAACATTTAGGGGTGTTCTCATTTGCGGTGCCATTCGTTTCTTCTGACTTGGGCTTTGGTTTTGCCAATTCATCGTGTTTCACTTCTCCTGGGATTATGTACATATCAGAGGTCATCTAAAGAAGCTCGAAAAGTTGTTTCATTAACTAGCATAGACAACCAAGTTCTCAATGTCTCATTTGGTAATTTCCCATTAAACTCTACCTAACAACTATACTTTCGTAATTGCTTTTTTGAAAAGCTGGTAGGGTTTGAGTACTTTGTTTATCATGACTTAGACATAGAAATTGCAAAGTATATACAAAATGAAAATGGCATTGCTATGATAGGGGATATAATTGTACGGTCTGAAATTGTGTCTTGAAATATTTCTAGTTCACACACCTTTGTTATCGTTACACTTTGTGTAGAGAATATACGGAGCATGTAAAGGGTGCTTCTTTCTATGACCCCATTTGGTATACATTTTGATCGAGAGAAGTGTACATCTTTGGTGCAGCCCATCGAGACGCTATTGGGGCTAGCACACATTCTTACCCTCATGGTTTCACGAGTGTGGGACTTGATGTGTTCTCGTCATACTTTTCGCTTCAGCATTGCGTTTTCAGGTCTCCTAAAGCGCTTACCCATGAATGTGGACTCTATGGACATGCTGTGGACATCAGGACATCATCCGAGTGAATACATCATGAAGAAATCCAGAATTCTCATGACGGCAGAGCACGAGAATCATGAGCGAGCGCTTCAGGTTGCCCTAAACTGAAGCGCCTCGGTCATGAACCTGGACTCGTGCTCAGTACATCAGGACATCAAACGAGTGAATACATCATAAGAAAATCCAGACATCGCGAAATCTCGTGCTCTGCCCGTCACGAGGATTGCGACTTGCTCGACCAGTTCACATACTCTGGTGTGGATCCATAGCAAGTAATGACATTTCCTTGCTGGTCGAGGTCAGCGATGAGTGAAAGCACGAGGACGTGGATTGAAGAGCATCCACGTGAAGGTGGGGGCCATTGCCGTCGTATTGAGCTCGCGGTTTCGACGAAGGAACAGGAGGCAGTGCCACCCTACCCCCCAAGATCTCGACCACCTGTCGCATCGTCGGCCGACTGCCAGCGTTGGGATGAGAGCACAAGAGGCCCAAGAGAAGAAGCACTTTCATCTCTTTTGCATCGAACTCCTCGCCCAGTCTCGGATCTACGACATCAAACAGGCGTTCCCGATCCAGCTTCTCCCAGACCCAATCCACAAGGAAAGTTTGCTTGACCGGCCCCTTGAAAAGGTAGGCCGGTCTTCCACAAGCAATCTCCAAAGCCACGGCCCCGAAGGCGTACACATCCGTCTTGTCGGTGAATTTCCCCGAGCCTGCTACCTCGGGGGCTATGTAACCGAAGGTCCCGGCAATCTGAGTGGTGGCAGGATACCGAGAATGATCCGCCATCCGAGCCAATCCAAAGTCCCCCAGCATGGCGTTGAAGTCCTGATCCAGCATGATATTGCTGGACTTGAAGTCCCGATGAATCACCTGCTGCCGCCAGCCCTCGTGCAGGTAATATAGAGCGTCTGCAGAACCGGAGATGATTTTGAACCTGAGCTTCCACGGCAGAACTAATTCTGGACTCGCCGGGTGGAAAAGAGCCTTGTCCAAGCTTCCGTTGGGCATGAGCTCGTACACCAGCAGGAGGTTGCCCCGTTCGTTGTACCATCCCAGCAGCTTGACGATGTTCCGGTGGCGGATCTGGCTGATAATCGACACCTCGGCCAAAAACCCCTTGAGACCCTGATTTGAGTCCGGATTCACTCTCTTCACGGCCACGAGCTGTCCCGTATCGCGCAATTGGCCGCGGTAAACAGCACCGGATGCTCCTTGACCGAGCTTTGATTCCTCTTTGAAATGATCGGTTGCTATGGAGAGCTGTTCGAAGCTGAACTCTAGGCTGAACCCCAAGTCCACCCGATCCAGACTGAAAGCTGGCCTATCCCTACCTTCAGGACGATACGATTTCTTCTGTCGAATAACCAGTCCAACGATGACCAGGATTGAGAATAAGAACACGACACCCAGTGAGACTCCAGCGATCAAAGCAACCTGTACTTTGCCTCCGCCGCCTGGTTCCGGAGGCAAAGCTGGAAGAATGGGAGGCGATACTTGAACTATGGCTTCAGGGTCAGAAACATATGAAAAAGTCCAGTCATAGACTGTGTAGAAATTGAAACATTCACAGATTCCGTTGGCTGCTGAAAACCCGACGTACACTAGCTCGTCTGGATGGAAGACGTCGAACAGATTTAGTGGGTAGAAGATAAAAGGTAGAGACGGCTTAGCGTTGTCACTGCTGATTCTCACCTCCAGGTTTTGAGTCGATGAGTTGTAATCTATCCACGAGTATATGCTATAATTTCCGGCAAGATCTATAGTGACCTCCCAGGCGCTTCTTGCTAACGTTGAATTGACATCTTGTAAGTCCACTCCCACATGATTGATGTTTTCGTCCCCGAACTCCGAATTTTCAAACGTGTCAAACTCGATTGCCAGTGTCCTGGCGATCTGATGTCCGCGTGGATCGAAGACACCGAAAGTACCTCCATAACTGCCTTGACGACCCTCACTGAGCATCACAAATGCCATCCCGTCGCCCCGTAAATTTGGATTAGAAGGTTCGATGGTGAAGCGGAAAGAAGTGCTGAAGGAGATCGACGTTCGGGTCGGATCGCTCTCACTCTTTTGCAGTGGGATTTGAGTTTTACAAAGTGCCATCCCGGATGTGCCATAGTAATATTCATAAGTCATGTTGGCCCTATCTATCGGAGTGAGCATCAGACCTGCGGGACTCGCACTTGCGTTTCCAAAACACCATAGATTTCCCCGGTCTGTGCACTGGAAAGACGTCCCGCTCGCTCCCAGTGTGAAGTTTGCTACCACATGCTTGACAAGAGCCCACAAGATAATGATCGATAACACAGTTCGAAGTCGAACTGGTCTGATCATTCTGAGCTTGATCATCAAGAAATTTTCACGCCTCAGGGACGAGATGAACACTAACTAATGCCATATTCACAGTCAAGCTCTCAGATGAAAGTTTGAGCTCGCGCGTGTCTGACTCTACGTTTAGTGATCTTCTGGCTTGTCAGGCTGTCATACTAGTCGTTAAATTTTTACTCCATATAATTCAAAATTATTATAATAAGTTTTGGACATGTAGGCTTGTCACATGATAGACATAGTAACCCTTCAAAGTACATAATGATGTAGTTGGCAGATTATACGGGTCATGGTTTACCTGCAGTGTCCTACATTTCCTCTGTGACTTTCTGGGTGGAGTCTGACTAACTGTGCAGGTAGCAATAAAATATGCAATGGAATCCAGCCTCGTTAGACAATATTTGGCCATCACAATTTCCTCTATGAAGTTTTGGGGAATGATTCATATCAGTACGACCTCTAATCGGAGTCAAAGCGCAGTGCACGCATGCGTCTCTTGACCACCTTGCGAGGCACATCCGAGTTGATCATCAAGAAAACGACCTGATAAAGATTTCTGTGAGGTCTGCATGCCAGGGGTTGACCTTTTGAATGACCTGCATCTCATGACCTAAGTACAAGCGTTATGTCGAACATGTCGAGGGGTCGAGAATAGACGAGAAGTCTATTTCAGTAGCTGACCGTTTCACTTTTAACACACAAATCGGGACATTGCAATAACAGTGGAAGAGTGGATAGCGAAATATTTAGAAAGTGTTGGACTTATATAAGTCCAACACTTGAGGATAAGAGTAGACAAACTCTCAACTCCTAATCGTCAGTTTGGTCATCGGGGTCAACAATTTTTACATGTAGAAACGCGTCGCACCTGATTTAAACACCTTGTTTATTCAGTGAGAAGTCTTCAGCGCTCAAGTTTCATTCGAGTAACACGCATTTATTGTGAAAATGTACATAGATGTTAAGCAACAAATGTAGCAGATTTCTTAGAAAAGTAAATCGAGGCAGGTGTGGAGGCCAAGTGTTGGATTTATCTCGTTGTGTAAAAGGACGATTTATCTCGTCCTTTTACTCAACGTATGGTCTTCGCCATCTTCTTCTTCTTCTTATCTTCTTATTCTTCACTATTCTTCACCTAAAAATAACATGAAGATTAGCTTCAAGCTCATGTGAAGGCAAGTTGTGTGTATCGTTCAGAGATGAAAACCGACACATGATTTCCACACCAGTCTCGAGCAAATTACAATAAGCACTCGAAATCCTGTAACGCACACCAATGACGTCGTCCCTCACATGTCACGCTGGCAGCTGTCAACACTTGTAGAATGCACCCACGCCAGTTCACAACCAACAGACAAAGACATCACACTAGCACCAACTCTCAAAGAGCCAAGCTCTTTTAGTGCAACATGAGCACAACGTGAGATACATATATAAATTCAGGTTCTTTGCATCCCATTGAAACTAAGTTCAGCGTCTTGTGTTTAATTTAAAATTTAGTCTAAATCTAAAATTTAGATTCGGCCGTGCAACAGCACTATACAAGCTGTAGTTATAACACTGTATGCATAATCAACTTCAAGATTTGTAACATCACATATCCACGCCTTTGTGCGATGAAAACGTTTTTACTCTTCAGACATGAGAAAAGTGTTACACACTTTGTTTTGATATGACTAAGAGTCTTTTAAAAGAACAACAATTTATTCGTGATATGTAAGTTTATTAAGCACATGCTCAAATCTAGATCACTATGAACTGTCATCAAATGACATAAATGATGATTGGTAGTTTTGAGTCTCATATGAAATCTTACAATATTTTTTTCAAATGAACATCGTTTTTGCTTATTTAAATACCCAAGCAAAAGCTTTTGATGTACTCAGAAAATATTTGTTAAAATTTCCCTTACCAAAGATGATATACTAGAATAATTTCATTGATTGTTATACATTACATTTTAGAGCAATTTTTATTTTTTAGCATCTTTCGAAGTTAAAGACATAAATTATTTAAATTTTTAAATCATAAAATTTTCATAATACCGATGAAAAAACAATGAAATCAAGATGATGATGACTAAAATTCAATGTATAAATTTGTAATCGCAAAGTTGGATTGATTGTCACAATCTGAATACAATAGTTATAATTTTTATACAAAGAAGTTTTGTAACAAATATTACTTGAAATCAAGTTTTAATAGTATTCAATGTTCTCGTGAAATTCTGCATTGATTGAAGCAACGTTTATAGAGTTCTCCCAAGATTTATATACGAGGTTCTACATAATGTCAAATATTATATCATATGCTATAATATCATAATGTCAAAGGTTGAAAACTTGAAATGAGAAATATGTTCATTGTAATATAATGAGAATATCTTTTGAGAAACGTGGAAGATAATTGTCAATAATCCACAAAGTTTTAATCCACAAGCTCCTCCGCCAGAGTGCTATTCTGAGCTCGCTCAGAATCGAGCTCCGCCTCAAGCTTCTCCCGCTGCTTCTCAAATTCTTTCTGTGCTTCGGCCACCTTTTCATCGCGCACCTGGTTTACTACCTTCTGCAAATTCCGCGAGAGTGCGAGGTGTCCGTGCAGGGCATCATTCTTCAACTCCAACTCCCTGCACCTATTGTCCAGGGAAGTCAGTACGGGGCTCGTCGCGACTTTGGTTCACGTCCGATTCAACACCAATTCGACGTAGGATCCCCGATGGCGGGGATTACCATACTTTGCCACCTTGCGATCAAGGTACCGCAGTAGTGGTATCACCTGCTCGCACAACACTCCTGTCGGCGTGCCTTGTATTGACTCCACTTCCTGCTCTTCTGAACTTGATCATCCTCTTCATCCTCTAAATCGAGGATCTCGGTCGCCACAGAAATCCTCAGTGATTCTCGGGAATTGCGTTGCGTGGCTTCTGCTACCACGACCGCCGCCCCACTCCCGGCCAACATATCCAATGCGGTGGGAGATCTGGCTTCCGGCAAATCCGCTCCTCCTACCCGATCTTCTACCGCCGAAGGCGCTTGTGTCGAAGGCACACGTGTCTTGTAATAACCCACTAAAGGCTAAAACTACAATATAGTGGTAGAAAGGTCGAACCCACAGGGACAGAGGAACACACAGGGTACAAAGTGTCACATTTAGCAGACTATTGAGGAGTTTGAATTCTTAGGCGACCGTCACTCCCAGAAATACTGCAAGTGTTCACTCGGAGCTCACTCGGAGGTCGCACAGTGCAGCGTAGTTCACTCAACACACACACACACACCTGAAACTACAGAAACACAACCCAGATATTGGTAAGGACCTCTACTCAAGATTTCAGGGGGGAAAGTCTCTTGTGAGTACACTCACTGAATCTGCGGGTAGTGACTCCCAACTCTGGCTTTTACAACTCTTCCACTAGCTTTCTGCTAGCGTATGGAACCCGGGTTCGACTTCCTACTTCGGATTGAAGTCACTCACACGCGGTGAACAACACTCTCAACTCACAAAACGCGCAGAGAACACAGGTCCGCACGGAAGGACTCACTGAGAAACTGTAATAACCCACTAAAGGCTAAAACTGCAATATAGTGGTAGAAAGGTCGAACCCACAGGGACAGAGGAACACACAGGGTACAAAGTGTCACGTTTTAACAGACTATTGAGGAGTTTGAATTCTCAGGCGACTGTCACTCCCAGAAATACTGCAAGTGTCCACTCGGAGCGCACTCGGAGGTCGCACAGTGCAGCGTAACACACACACACACACCTGAAACTACAGAAACACAACCCAGAGATCCGTTAGGACCTCTACTTCAAGATTTCAGGGGGAAAGTCTCTCAAGAGTACACTCTGCGAAGCTGCGGGTAGTGACTTCCAACTCCGGCTTTTACAACACTTCCACTAGCTTGCTGCTAGTGTAGGAAACCCGGTTTGGACTGCCTACTTCGGATCGAAGTCACTCAGACGCGGTGAACAACACTCTCAACTCACAAAACGCGCAGAGAACACAGGTCCGCACTGAAGGACTCACTGAGAAACATTCCAGTAACACAACAACAGTCTATTGAAGAGTTTGAATTCTCAGGCACTTGTCATTCCCAGAAATACTACAGGGGTTACCCTCAAGGCACCTGTTGCAGCGTAACCTGAATTTACAACCAAGGCTTACACGAAGTAGCAAAACTTCACTTTGGCATTCAGGGGAAAAATCCCAAGGGAGTACAATCAAAAAGAAACACTCGAAGGTGTAGGGGCGAAACTGTTCAAGTATCTAACTAGTCACTGGCTCTGAGCATCGGCAGTCACCCGCAGGTACAGATCCGAACTACTCAAGTCTCTAACCAATGTACTAGCTCTGAACATTCGGCCGAAGGCCTTCAGCTACAAAATGCGGAACGCTAAGTTGTAACTCCTCGTGCGTGGTGACAGAACTCAAGGACACAAACACGCAAAGGAAATGGGTTCCTGATCTGCACTTCTGATGGGAAAGAACCCCAGGCAAAACGCCTGGAACTATTTTATACCTTCTAAGTCCTACCTAGCACTACACTGCACTACGCTACACGCCTGCACGGAACCACGCTACACTACACTCCGCGGAACCTGTACTACGTCTCCTGCGCGGCCGACTGCCGCGCACTAACTCCCTACCCTGCCAATCTTCCGCTCGACTGCGCAGTCCCAAACGCTGCAACGCCGCGGACACCTCCACTTCGAGGGCGGACATGGTATCCTGTGCCTTCGACAGAAAGGCATCGAGCTTCTTTGCTACCTTCCGCCGACTCCTACTGTCGCCTGACAACAACCCGGCTGCGCGCAATTCAAACTCACGCAGTGTGAGTTTCTCCTGCGCCTTCACTTCCCAGTGGGCGTAGCCCTTGAGACAGTGGGCGACACGTCTCGCCGTCTCCACCTTCGTGCGATCCGCCTCCTTCCTGCGATCCTCTTCAATTATCACTAATTGCGAT